AACAAAAAAACATGCTTTCATAGATTTTTTATGTAATCCTTCATTTTTGTTGCACAAATATTCAGCACTGAATGGAGGCAAAGTTTAAATATATGAAACAACAAAGACCTATCATTATATAAAAAGTCCAACATGTGTTTTTTTCTTCCTCTTCTTCTCTGAAAGCTGAGTTTAACTTCTAACCCAGACAGATTATCAGCCGATTGAAGAACACGCTGTGATGGTGAGTCAGGAATGTGTGTAGGCTACGCAGAGCCCAGACACCAGGAAGATAAACCCTGATAAAAACATGTAGTATGAATGAATGTGGCTGCTCTCAATGGGAGGAAGTCATTCTGGTGGTATGTGCATATAGACGTTTGAATGATGTCAGATGTGGTAACACAGCGCCACCTGCTGATCTAACCCTTAAACAGGCACTGTGCACCAGGAGATACACACTTTCATATTCTGTAGGGGGTATGCTGGGAGGTTTTCACTAATCAAGTTAGCATTCATGAAAAGTCTTGTCTGGTATTAAGATCTAGATGACATGATTTGGTTCAGGCTATCTTTCATCATTTCGTCAGCCTGATCAGAAAACATCATGGCCACCAGTGATGGAGAACCTGCTTCCTTGGGGGTAAGTATAATTTATTAGTCATACTTATTTTCAATAAAACAACAATATAAATTCCTAAAATTAATTAGGACATTTGTCTAAACATTCTGATGAGGAAAAAAAATATCCAACTATGTTTGTGGTGTTACTTAGCAGCTATTGAAATGTATGTATCCCCTGAGATACGTTGCCAGATTAGGGATAGAAATTTGGTCAATGTGCATTATTCAAAATTTTATTTCAAACTGGAAGGCATGTTAATAATTACTACAGTACCAGATATTATCAAGCACAGCTGTGCCCATTATAACAGTATAACTGTATTTTACAAAAAAAAAAATCAATTTATTTTCAAGCAGGGCATCTCAGCTAGGTCCTTTTATGGGAAAAGAAAGCAAAGCACAGAAATGAGAGTGATAGAGGAGATTCCTGCAAGTTCTTCTGACTCTGAGTCAAACAGTGATGAAGATCAAGAAGTAATGAGATGGAGGCAGTGAGTGAAGGCAGTTCTGATGGAGGATGAAAGTTCTGATGAGGAGCATAATGAGATGGATCGCAGTATTGGTAAAAATGAATAAAATCAACTTTAAAAGTGCTATGTGTAATGTAAATGACCAAGGAGTACAACAATGTATAATTTATCTTCATCAAATTGAACAGTAATATGTTTATCATCGGGGCTCTGTTTATACCTTAATAGGGCAACGTATCCTGGGAGATACAGCTCATAAAATCCAAAATATTGAATATATATAAATTTTGAATGTGGAAATATTTAACTTAGGGCCTAAAGAGATGAGTGATACAATTTAATTATTTTTTGCAACTTATTTTCCACTCCTGCCTGTTTAAGGGTTAAAGGATGAAGATATTTTTTCCTCATAATTCCTGATTGATTGATTGACTTTATTGATTTCACTGTGGAGTAATGTACTTGTTACATCAGCTCAAACAGGCAAAGAAGAAGAATGTACCAAGGGAAGTAAAAGGTGCATGGCATATATACAATATATAGTGTGTCCACATATGACAGCTTTTTTTTTATTATTAATTTATTTATTTTTTTAAAGTAGGATCATTTTATAGGGTTATTGCACATGAGTATTTATTCTTTTACAGGGTGTCGGTGTGATGAGTCCAGTCCAGTTTTTTATAGATGTAAACATCCAGGTATTTGAAACTCTCCACCGTTTCTATGTCCTGCCCCTGGATGTTCATGGGGGAATGAGGTGGTGTGAGGTTCCTCCATTGATCTTCACATCATTTTTACCAACTTAACTTTTAAATTACAGAGTGTCGTAGGAAAGTCGTATTTGAATGTCAAATCATTCTGGCTGAAACATATATATATATAAATGTACTCTTTATCAGACAATTTTGTCCCAAAATTTAGAAAATTTCTATTTAAAAAAAACCTGTCTGACAAAACATGTGTTGTCATTATCTCCGTTCTATCTCTTCTTTTTTTCATCTTTTCTCTTTTTTTTTTCTTTTTTCCTTTTCTTCTTCTGCTCTATTTACATTGAAGCAATTTGTATGCATGAAACACTTGTGAAAGTAAAATCTGTTGAGCTCTTTTTGGCATCAAGACAATTATTCTTATTGCCACATTGCCAGACAGGACACTGTTAAAAAAAAACCCAAAAAACCCAAAAAAATCCTGTCTTAAAATTGGTGGGTTTTTCTTCTGCAGGCCAGTTAGTTCTACGTCAGCCTGAACACCTAAATTCGGCCAATCATATATCAACGTTCATCTATCAATCAAATGTTTGCGGTCATAGCATCTTGATTCATATGTCACAGCTAATATACGCAACGGTTGAAATAAGAATAATTTAATGGGGATGGACGTCTGTGTCTTCGGCAGGCGTAGAGCTAACTGAAACTGCAAGCCGGCTGCTCCGTGCTCAGAGGAAAAAGGCACTTGGCGCCGAACAGCAGTTAATATCGGAAGTTCAGTTTAAAATATAAATACAAGTATGTAAATAGTTCCGTCTGAAATGAATGAAAATAGTTGTTTTAAATGGTAATAGAGTCAGATATGTGGCGGTAATGTTTGATTTATCTAAAAGTGTTTATCTGTTACTGTGCAAATGAGTTTGGCTGTAATTTAAGGACAGATTCTAATATATCTGCAGTGTGGGAACAATAAATCTAATAGGATTTTTAATTTTTAATTGCTATTTTGCACAATTTTGCTTAACAAAGTATTTTTTGTTGTTGAATATAAGACATATTTTTTATGCATACATCGTTAAGATTTACTTATATCTTTCTACCCATTTTATAGAATATAACAGAATAGAAAATCTCTTTATTGTCTCACAAAGGGGAAATTCTGGTGTTTACAGCAGCAAAAAAAAGAGAAAAAAATGTTACAAAAACCCTAGAAAAATATATAAGAAAATGTATAACAATATTCTTTTCCTGCTTTGTGTGTCAACTGTCACGGTTGCTAAGCGACAGAGCATACGGCGTTAAAAGAATAGACCTGTTTTAATTCACAGCCAAACTTCTTCCGGTCTCCTTATTTTCAAGGACTGCGAAAGTCCAGTAGACCTTGGATGACGCCGCCCATAAATTCGAACACAGCCTTCTGTCGCTATCGCCGATGGATGGGATGCACGTCGTTCTGCGCCGCCACGCTCTCCGGGCTACAAATGGAGCGGACACTGTGACGTTTTGGCCTACTGCGCAGCCGCGTAGCTGTGAGGTAATAACAAAGATGGCGGCGCTCGGCACATCGCGGTGCTTGTTTCAGAGCTTTTCTCGGGTAAAAGATGTGCAGAGGATCAAGAAGACATTTCAGAGGTGTGGTGTTAGAGCGCTCTGTGACAAAACGAATGAAACTGGTAGGTTTCCATTGGTTTCACACCGTAATTGGAGAATAATGGTATTTTTTCAGTGCTGACCTTGTAGCTTGTTGTAGTGGCTTTAACTGGGGGAGGCTAAATGTCTATATTGATGTATATTTTATTTTTCTGTAGATATTTCTCTATGCAGTTTTAAATATGTTCAGTTTCTTGCTTACAGCTGCACCGATCCTTTGAAATGACTGGCATTAAAGCAGCCAACTGAAGGCAATTTATGGAAGTGGTTTAAGATAGCAATTCTATTCAGTTTATTTCTATAGCACCAATTCACAACATGTCTTCCAAGATACTTTACAATTCATCCAGTCAGATTGATTCAAAGTTTTCTATCTAAGGAAAACCAGTTGATTGCATCAACTCATTGACTCTACAGCAATCCCTCTCATTAAGCATGCTTGTAGCGACAGTGGAGAGGAAAAACTCCCTTTTAACAGGAAGAAAACCTCCAGCAGAACCAGGCTCAGTGTGAGCGGCCATCTGCTGAGGCCCACTGGGGTTCAAGGAGACAGAAGCAGAGGTGCAAAAGGAACTTTTATAACAGCAAGAAATGCAGTTAGAAAAAAGTGATTTTCTAACCTGAAAGCTAGAATTGTTGTTAACCTTTTGTAGTTACTGCATCTACTGAAACTTTTATCTGATCTTTGTTCAGCTTGAAGCTCTAAAGCTACTTAGAGATTTCAGGAGATGATCTTTCCCATCCACAGATAATGGAAAGCCCCATTTCACGGATCAAACTGTGCAGGACATCCTGACCAGGATAACCGGCCTGGACCTGCAGAAGGTTTTCCGACCCGTTAAAGAAGAGCTGAAGCCGCCCACCTATAAGCTAATGACTGATGAACAGCTACAGCAGGTGGCCGTCAACCCTTCAGTTCCTAATTAACTCTCTGCATCACACACATCTGAGAAGTTCATTAATTTTAATCGGATCCTCCGTGCGTTTGTTCCCAGGCGGTACAGGTTGCTACAGACGAAGCAAAGAAGCGGCTGCAGATGCCCCCCGTCCTTCCAGAGAGGAAGCCCATCGAGGACGTGCTCGCTGTGGATAAGATCCTGGATGGCATGGACACGGCTAAATACGTTTTCACTGACATCACCTACAACATCCCTCACAGGGTAAGCAAACACCACTGCTCTCCAGTGGGCTGGTGTTCCTTAGTCCTGTTCCTCAATACTGCTACGTTTAGACCGCCAGCAGCAGAAGCAGCTAGTTTACATGCATAGTCATTGTTTCTCATGCATCAAGCCGCAGCAAAAGGTTTTTCTGCGCATTTTGAGCAGAGGGGGCAGCGCATCGTGAGCTTCTGAGCATCTGACGCACGTGACGTACTTCAGGAATACCAGCTGCTGGAGTTTAAAAAAAATTGATTAGATTAGATTAAACTTTATTGCCATTATACATGTACAGGTACAAGGCAACAAAATGCAGTTTAGGTCTATTATAAATAATGAATATAATATAAAGATCACTAGTGTTATGAACTAAATTTACAGCTGGATATGTAGCGAATATAATATACAGGTGGGTATTACTATAAAAAAAGGATTTTACAGTTATGTACAATAGCATAATATACAGATGGGTTTTACTATAAAATGAATAAATAAAGTTTGGACAGAAGCTATCTGTCCAAATGTAACTTTAGCTGCTGGATGCGCCACATCAAGCAATCAGAGAAGCTGATCTGGGAGCTGGCAGGGAGTCAGACACAGCACTGCTGATGCAGAGCGCTATGATCACTCTTATAAATCAGTTAATTAACGACTAAATTAACTTAAAGGTTGAAACCTGCCGGTAAAATATGTTTGATTTTATTATTCTGGTGCCCGCAGTTTGGATTATATACGTGAAAAACGCCTTCCAGCCGCTGCGAACAGTAGCAGAAAACCACAAAGAGGCGACTGGGCCAGAGGCTGCTGTTGAACAGGATTCCCAGTGACAGCGCACCGCTGGTGTACGAAGGCCTAGAGGCTCTGACAGCGAAATAATATTTGAAGGCAGGATGTGACCTGGATGAACTGACTGCACAGATTAAGTTTTCAGGTGGACTTTCTCACTTAAAAACATATTAAAACTATGTTTTATCCACTTATAACGGCAAATATAACAAAGCCGCTCTCTGCCATTGAACACAGGAGCAGCAGAAGCATTGACGCATCTGGACACAATTTACTGGACGTCTGAGCTTATTTTTATGCTTTATGTTTATTGAATGTTTCATTTATCAATCACATACAGAACACAGAACGGAATAACTGTCGACAAGGAGAATTACTTACATTCTGACAAAGATGAACAAATACAGAATGAAAACAGCATAAAATTTACATTTCAATCTTGTGATTTTTGAGCAGCTTTTGAAGTGACAGTACAAGTGACCTGATTCAGTTATTGTTTTCTAGAAATCTCTTTTTATAAAGATCCGATTGCAGTCTCAGCATAAATGTTAACTTTTCCATTTTGTGGGTTTCATCCACCAGTTCCAGCCAGTTCTTTATCGTTGGTGGTTCAGGTTGAAGCCATTTCCGAGTTTTTACTAAAGACTAAAAAAGATGAATGGACTGACTGCATTATTGTGACTTTGTGATACAAAATGGTTTTATTACTCTTGACAGATTTCCATTTATTCAAAAGGTCTCAATATGAAGGATGGAGTTATCATATAAATAAACCCTTACAATTTTATTGCAATGTAAGTTTGGAGAGATAAGTCTTTTATTACTTTTGTGATATTTAGTGGATGTTCCTCTCTAAACTGACTTGAGTTAAAAATGAGTCTTTTAAAAGGAGTTCAAAATCCAGATTCTAAAGATTTTTAGTAAATATTTGTCACTCATATTCAAACTCTCAGGAACAGCTCAGAGTGGACGTCTGATCTTAATGTCAACAAGCATCAGAAATGAAGAAGCAGAAGTTTTTTTTTTGCTGCTTCCAGTGTTTGCAGTCTGAATGTAGCATTCATTAAAATAAGCTCCGCCCAGAACCACTTCCCACCACACAGCTGGAGCAGCAAAGATGCTTCAGCCTCGTGTCAGAACTAAATTTGTACAAGCATAAAAAATGAAGCATCACGTGTGTTTTTGCTGCTCTGAATGTTGCATAAAAACAGATTATACTGATTGTTTTTTTATTCCTTCTGTAGGAGAGGTTCATAGTTGTGCGAGAGCCTGATGGCACTCTGAGGAAGGCGACCTGGGAGGAGAGAGATCGTCTCATTCAGGTTTACTTCCCCAGGCAGGGCCGCAAGCTAACACCGCATCTCCTCTTCAAAGAAGAGAACCTCAAGGTTAGCAGCAGATTTCATTTATTCATCAAACTCTGGGAAGTTTTTATGGATTCCTTCATCGTCAAAATCAACAATCTTTTGTTTTATGTGCATTTTCCACTGTCCTTACAGCTGCAATTAACCACCATTACTTTATTCATTTGCTGTCGAGTGTTAATATAATATTAGTACCAATATGTTGGATAATTGCTAGGGATGCACGATATAATCGGCCCCCTATCGGTATCGGCCTTAAAACTGAATATCGGACATCGGCCACCCCACCGATATTTAACCCGAT